TTCATATAACAATTGCACTTTTTCCATATTATTCCACAATATATATTGATAACATTTTTATTCGAAATAAGTTTTTGTTAGATTATATATAACATATTTATCGTATAATATATACATTAGATACGTTATACTGAAATTCCGAAAAAAATATTATACATTAAATTTCTAAAAGAATGCAATGGTATTGTATATCTAAATTGAATGTTCTTATTATATTTACTATCTTAATCTAATGCAAACTTAATGCTTAGATTTCGTTAAGTTTTATTGGATAAACTTTTTTCGTCATTTAAGTCTAATCTAAAATCCATTTTTTAAAGATTTTTATATTTTTATTTTTTTATAAAGGTCTTTTATAAATTTTTTTTAATGTTAATTTTTTTACATTTTTGTTTTTATATGAATCTAATTTTTTATTATATATATATAAAATATANATGTTATTAATAATCCGTTGTAATAATACCAATATTATTAAATTTATATATTTTTCCATTTTGCATTTTTAAATGCATTTTTTTATGTACAGAATGTTATATTTTAATCTATTTGGTTAGATATCTTGAATAAATCAATTTTATTATTATATATTATAGCTTTCTTTGGAATTAATAAATAAAAATAGATTGATATGCAATTATTTCAATAATTAATAATGATAATTTAAATACTTCAAGAATAAGTTTCTTATAACTTATGGGTTTCACATAATATTTGACTAATTGAACATTTTGCTTTATAAAAATTTTTATTACAGCTTCATTAACAAAATAACAAAAGACATTAACCAATTATAAAGTGCATAATCGATCTGCGATAATAGCGTATAAATTTCGGTCGCCGACCGAACATAAATTCAACAAATAAATTCAAGAAATATGTGTCGAAAAAAATATATTAAATATTACAAATTTATTCATTATTTGTGTTATAATTCAATATAATTTTTTTATAGATAAAAAAATATTTGTTATATTCAACATGTTTTTTTTATATGTATTACTTAGATTTGTTCATATTCAATCGGCGATATATAGTCAACACTATTATCGCGATTCGACTAGATTATGCATTTGATGTACCAATATTTTTGTTAAAAACTCGTAATAAAACCGTAAAAGTTTTTTTATAAAGGTCTTTTATAAATTTTTTTTAATGTTAATTTTACAAAAAAAATGTTAGTTGAAATTAATTAATAAATCTTAAATTAACAGATGTTCACATATTTTTAAGATATTATATTTTATCATCTGTATATCTTATAAATCAGCGCTTATATATATATATATATATATATATATATATATCTCTTTTGTACATTAAAATACAAAGAAAATTGAACTTCACGTAATAGTCGAAAATACTTTTTTTTATATTTCTTTTTATAATAATATATAATTAATATATAATTATTTATCAATCAAAAGAATCATTTATAGATCTTATAATTCGATATTATCAATTATATATTTCCAAAAAAATTATTGATTTGATTTCATTAATACATCTTTTGCAATTTAATAATCTATCTTTTGCAATTTTTTAATCTATCAATTTTAGTTTCGTGATATGAAAGAATAGAGGAAATTCTTCAAATATTGAAACTAATCACAAATTTTTTAATATTAAATATTAGACTGAATCAAAATAAAATTTCTCAGATTTATAGATGATAATTTAGTAATGAAATAAAATTATAAATATCCGATTTCATATCTCTTTTTAAAGTCTTCGTTTGCTATACTTTTTTCAGGCTATGAAACATTAATTTTGAACACGTAATAGAACACGTAAAGAATCGAGAATGCAATCTGAATGCAATAGAATTTCATTCAAAACAACGTAATAGAATGAAAATTATTCTACAATCTTAGTTATAAGGAAATACATAGCAAATTTAGAAAAAAGTGGACGGAAAAAATTCAGACTGGCACTAGGAAGGATTGATTTAATATTACTTATATAAGTTATAATCCGATGTATGATTATAATCAAAACGAGAAATAAGAAAGTAAATGAAAAAAAGAAAAATCAGATTGCCATTTCTTTCGATCAAAAAATTTTCTAATTTATTTCGGACAATATCTGGTTCCATTCTCGTTTTGTAGCTTGTTTATCGTCTTTGTCTATCTTAACTGATGACGAAATAGAAGTTAAAGGTAGATATATTATCTCTAATAGATATATTATATAAACTACATTAATTTCTTATGCACTGTATATCTGTATAATTGATTATTCAAATGCAATAAGAACGGGATATATCATTTTAAAAATAAAGAGAAGGATCATTTTCAAAATAAAGTGAATACATCAGATTTTCTCGATGATCTTTTTAAATGATTTTCAACATAATTTAAAATAATGCCTCTTTAATTTTTTTTCAACAGTTAGATTAAATTGTTTATGATGTATTTATTCGAACGTATGAAAAAAAAATTGTTATTAGAACTAGAATCAAATTTTTAAAAAATAAAGTAAAAATTCTTTTTTATCAAGTATTTATGTTTAATTTATTGTGTTTTTTTATTTCTGATTTATAAATAAAAATGTTTAATAATATATTTATGTATAATAATATATATAATATGCATGTAATATATGTAATGATGTAATATATATGATATTTTTAATATAATATATTATAATATTTGTCATATATTATAATATTATAATATTTGTCATATATTTATATGATATGGTTAGATTAAATTAGGTTTTACAAATATCTCAAAAAATTATAATTGTTGAACGATGATAATATGCAAAGAAAAAAATTATTCAAAAAAATCATAATTATCAAATTAAAAATACAACATAGAAATTAAATGATTTTTCAATTAGAATGCAACTAAAAAATTTTAAAATCATAATTTTCATTTATGAATTTATATATTGCCTTATTAGTTAATGAAAAAATTTTTTAGAGTGAGATTTTCAGTAAAAAGATTTTCAGAAGATTTTCAAGAAATCAAAAATTTTTTAGAGTGAGATTTTCAGTAAAAAGATTTTCAGAAGATTTTCAAGAAATTCAAGAAATTTTCAAAATTCTAATTTATAAAAAATTAATTAAATACTATTACACTATTTAGTTAGATTTAGTTGATGAAAAGCAAAAAATAAATAAAAATAAAATAAGATAAAAATAAAAAATAAAAAGATAAAAGTAAATAATAAAAGATAAAAAATAGTAAATAACTTAGAGATATAAATCAGAGCCATTAAGACATGCGAATTATATGATGGATCTGCCATTATTGTATCAAAGGATAAAGAATATAAATCATTTTTTTTAATTGTTATAAAATAAACTATTTTTAATGGATTATATTATAGCAAGTAGATTAAGATTATTGTAATAATATGTGCGCGATATTATTTATTTTTGAATAAAAATATTTTCTGATCTTCATATTGAGAAAATTATATAAGTTCCACATTTCGTATTATATAATTCCTTATTGAGACTTATTTCATTGGACAGGTAAAATAAAATTATATAAAATATTCAGAGATATTTGAGAAATCGAGAAATATGAAAAATGATAGTGATAGTAATGATTAAATTATAGATATTTTTATTTCATATAAATATAAAATAATGAATTTTGAATTAAATAACTATAGAACAATGAAATAATAATGAAAATGATAATGAAAAGTTTAAAATAGTGTTTTTTAATTTGCTGAAGAAAGATTTTTATTTAATTTTTAATTTTCTTAGTTCAAGTTGTATCTCTAACTTATATATATATTTTATTATTTATATATTTTAATATGTATCTTATTATATATGTTTTTTATTAAAGCAGTTATTATTGTATAATTTTTTTTGTTGAAGCTGAATTTTTTATTTCCAAAAAAATATGTTCAAAAAAATCTATATTCAAAAAAAATTGGTTTAATAAATATTTGTTAATTTAAAAAGAATTTTACTTATTTAATTTTATATTATAAAATAAATTCGAATATGGGTTTATCTTAAATTGATAAACATTTTATATATATAAATTGATAAATATTTATATAAATATATATATAAATTTAT